GTGGGGGAGGAAGGTTTCGGAAGGAGGCGGCCGGAGTGGTTAGAATCCACGGCGACCGATGAAAGCAGCCGGTGGGGAGTGAATTGACGGCGCGATGAAGGGGAGTGAAATCGCCCCTCTCGGCTCTCACGAAAGAAAGCGACTGGGAGAAGATTGGGGTAATTCTCACGCTATTAGTCAGACTTGGGGTGGGTGGGTTGGACGGCCGGGTTGGGTCGGGTGTACTGGTTAAGTGGGTCTGATTGGTCTATTTTTTTTTTTGTATAACGTGTTAAGCTGATTGGATTTAATTGACGGTTTTTTGGATGGAATTGGACGGAATAGCCGTTTTGATATTCGTCCAAAGGTGTGTGACCGAAACGTGCGAAAATGAAGTTTAGTGACCATTTTGTACTAAGTGAATAGTTGTGTGACCGTTTATGCTAATTACCCCTAAAATCATGGCAGAGAGGCTTGCTGGTATTTTGCCCCAAATTATTTCCGATGGCCAGAATGCTTTTATTCGAGAGAGGCAAATTGTGGAGAACATTCTCTTAGGGCATGAGTTAATGCATTACCTGAAAATCAAAACCCGTGGGAAGAAGGGATATATGGCTCTGAAGGTTGATATGGAAAAGGCCTATGATAGAGTCAAATGGCCCTTTCTCTTAGGGGTTTTGGAAAAAAATGGGGTTTAACTCGGTCTGGAGAGGATGGATTCAGGAGTGCCTCCAATCTACGTCATTTTCGGTCTTAATGAATGGGACCCCAGCTGGGTTTTTTCCCCCTTCCCGTGGGCTCAGGCAGGGTGATCCGCTATCTCCCCTTCTTTTTGTCATCTGTACGGAAGGTTTCGCGACTCTCCTTCGTCAAGCTATCGCGGAAGGGAAATTACAAGGGGTTAAAGTGGCCCCTCGGGCGCCTCGTATCTCTCACTTGTTCTTTGCTGATGATTCTTATCTTTTCTTAGAGGTTCCCTCCAAGAATGTGAGAATTTGATTGAAGTTCTTAATGAATATGAGGAGTTGAGTGGTCAGAGAGTGAATCTAAAGAAATCGGCTGTGTGCTTTAGCAAAAATATTGCGGTGACGGATCAGGAATTCTTGGCGGAAATTTTAGGAGTAGGGGCTGTGGGAGTCCACGATAAGTATTTGGGCCTCCCCTCCCTGATAGCCCGGTCTAAAATGGCTACTTTCCGCTACCTGGAGGAGAAGCTTCTGGATAGATTGCAGGGGTGGAAGAGGCGAACATTGTCGTGGGCTGCTAAGGAAACATTGATTAAATCAATGGCATTAGCTATGCCTCTGCATGTTATGTCCTGTTTTAAGCTACCCCTGGCCTTGTGTCACCTTCTTGACAAGCATATAGCCCGATTTTGGTGGGGGGTGGAAGAGGGAAAATCGAAAATCCGGTGGATTTCTTGGAGGAACTTGTGTAAAAGTAAACATGAAGGGGCATGGGGTTTCGCCGCTTTGAGCTTTTCAACCAAGCTTTGCTAGCTAAAATTGGTTGGCGTATCCTTGAGGAACCCCAATCCCTTATTGCCCAGGTGTACAAAGGTAAATATTTCCCCAACTGGTCGTTTCTTACTGCTCGGGCCAGATCACGTCCCTCTTGGGGATGGCAAAGTATCCTCTTTGGCCGTCAATTGTTGGAATCAGGGCTGCGATGGCAAATTGGGAATGGTCCGAAAGCTCCTCTGCTAAATTTCAGTTGGATTCCCCAGCAACATCCCCGTCATCCAGTCTATAACCCGTGCGTGGTTACTGATGGGGAGGGGTTGAAGGTGGAGGAGGTGATCCACCAAGGAGAGGGCCGATGGAATGATCACAAACCGAGTCAATAGTTTGACCCAGCTACCTGTAAAGCCATTAAGACCATCCCATTGCCACACCAGAATATTGAAGATAAATTGATTTGGCATCAGACTTCTGATGGTATTTTCTCCGTTAAGTCGGCGTACTACGTCGCGGTGAATTTGGATCGTCAGAATGGTCGTTGGAGGGCTTTGGCTAGTTGGATGGATAAGCCAAGTTGGATCAGGCTGTGGGAGGCGGATATTCCTCCGAAGCTTAGGGTGTTTGTTTGGCAAATCTTTCATAGAATTCTTCCTACTACGGAAGCGTTGCGTGAAAAGAAGGTGGACATTTTGCCTCGCTGTCCGGTGTGCTGGGAGGCATCGGAAACTCTGGAACATATGTTCTTGGAGTGTCCGGTGGCTCGTGCATTGTGGGATCATTCTGGGCTAGCCCACCTGGGTGAAGGTTTGCCTCGCCATACGTTCCCGCTATTTCTGAAGAAATTGCTGGCTGTGGTGCATAACCCTGCGCTGGTAATGTCTGTAGTGGCTGTTCTGTGGCGGATTTGGCGATCCCGTAATTGGGTGGTCTTTGAAGGCAAACAATTCGGGACCCCTGCCTTGATGCGGCAATTCCACCAACAAGTCCATGAATGGAGTAGCTTACCCTGGGTCCTGTCTGATCAGCGGGCGCGCTCCCCGGCCCCTACTGTCTCTGCAGATGGGAACAACACGGCAATTTGTATGTGGGATGGGGCTGTGCGGTTGGGATCTCATGAGGCAGGGGGGATGGTTATCCTTGATTCTGACAGAGTGGTCATCCATGCGAAGGGGGTTCATTTCCCGCTCCTTGATGATCCAATGATGGTTGAAACTCTGGTCCTCCGGGAGGCGATGGGCTGGTGTTTGGCAAATGGATTCAATGTCATGAGGTTTGAAGGTGATGCCCAAGTGATAATTGAGAAGATTCTCCGACGGGATGTTCGGGATAATCGAATAGGGGCAATTCTGGAAGAGATAGTCAATTTGTTCGCCTCAAACATAGGTTTCACTGTACGATTTGTAGGTCGAAGAAACAATAGGGTAGCTCATTTGGTAGCTAGACAGGCCCTGTCTTTGTTCCCGACTACTTGTCGTTCGTTTGATTTCCAGGCTTGGCTGTATTCCAGGATGTAACGATCTATTGTTTTCAATCTAATGATTATCTTTTGTCAAAAAAAAAAAAAAACATCAACCCATCTAAACGCGATGCTCACACCTACTATCACATGAAGGCAATGCTACTTAGGTATTGCAATTGGCAGGCTCGGTTGAGTTTCTCCAAGTTCAAATCCAACCCCAACCCCAACCCAGCAAATGCACCAACTAAAATAATCATTAATTTTTTATGTACTTTTAAAAGAGAAAATCCAATACATATGCATGAGTAACCATGAGTTCATGTATATATGTAACTGTAAATAATTCATTCGAACACTCTCATCGTTATATTATCAAAATTTCTCTACAATTATATTGTCATTGAAAAATAATGTCTATAAATTATCCATTTATTAGGACTACATTTTTTTAAAACTAATGACATCTACAAATTATCCATACTATTAGGGTTACATACAAAATGATATCATTTTACTTTTTTTGTGAGGAGCGTCTGGAAAGTGGGTTGGATTTTGATAAAATTCATTCCTGGTCGAACAGTCATTATTCAAAAACTGATACAACCTGCATCTGATCTAAAAATAGTCAATATTGAATTCTACTCGATTTGACCGGGTGGAACTGAATTAGGAAATCAACAAGTCTGGTTTAATTGACATCCTAATGTCACAACTGCCCTGTTGTCCCCTCAATTCTCAACAAGGTGGCAGGGCCGGCCCTGAGGGTGTCTGGCACTAGGGGTGGCTATATGGTCCGGTTAAATTGGCCCGAATTGATTCAGTTCTGGTCCAGTCTTTTCGGGAATAAAAGGACCAAAGATTGGATTGGATACAATCCGGTTTTGATCCAGTTCGGTCCCAATTCAGTCTTGATTTTAGATTGAGCTTGTGGAAATTGAGTGGCCTGAGGATTTGGTTAAGTTTTGGGTGTTGGGCTCTCTTATCCGGTCTTTATACGGTTTTCGATCTGGTCTCATACGGTATTTTACCTGAAATCTAAGTCTGAAGATAGGATTGGATTGTTTGTTATCCTGTTGCGGCCCGGTCCTGGTCCGGGTTATACGGTCCGGTTTTGGATAAATCCAAAATGCCGAACCAAATAGACAGCCCTAGCTGGCACGCCCTCCGGCATAGGACCTCCAAAATTTGGGGGCCTCTGGACCTCCACCTTGTATATGACTAATTACTATTACGGACTATTGGGTTTCAACTATAAATTTAAAATGCTACAAATTTTATAAACTGGATTTTGATTGTGAATCTAAAACAATAATATTAAAAAATTAACTCTGAATTCTAAAGGAATGAATGGATCACATAAGCGGTATACTTGCTATCTTATTATAATTTTTTCAAACCATATAACATAACTTATTTTTTGTCGTGTGTTTCCTAAATAAAATAAAGAAGTAAAATTGTCAATGCCTCATTATCAGCATTATTAAATTTGTTGTTTTAACTTTCTTCGTTTTAAGCTTTCAAATGGGGAAAATATTTATTACAAAAAACAAGGCGGGGGAGGGAGGATATCCAATTTTGTTAATTAATTTGCTTGTACTAGCAAGGTAGTAATGTTAAATTAATGAAATAATTTGCATTGATTTATTCCACGTTAGCAAGATTAATTAGGTGCAAGCCACCAATAGTAGACAAGAAAAAATAACTAAATCAATTATAAATAGTTTGTATCATGCTTAATTTTAGACTAAAAAATATAACAGTTTCTCCTATCTAATTTGGTTTAATATATTATTTTTTTCATACTATTTGATTCTTCTAAAATTATTTTGATCTTAAATAATTGATTTAAGGTGAGTCTAGTTAATTGATTTACTGTCAATTTAGTTACTTATTAGCGTCTTTTATTTGCATTTTTTATTTAATCTCTAAATAATTGATTTTTTAATTACAACTTACTATTTAAATCATTGTCACTATTTATTTCAAATAATATTAGATATATGTTATTTCTAAACAATGTTATGATTTTTATGTATTGATTGATACCTTGTTTACATTTTATTATATTTTTAGTATAAAACAATTTGGGCCATATTTTGCTTACAGAACAGGGCCTCCGAAATCTCAGGACCGGCCCTGCTGGCTTTCGTGTTCCACTCTATGTGGAATCTTTTTTTGCCAATTATTAACAATATCATACACCTTAACTCGAAAATGATAAAGTTTGGGTATACAGTCCCATTTCCTCTATCTTTAGAATGATAAACCTAACGTAGCATGCTACTACTAAAAATGTTACTATGCCTGTGAGTTTGGATGTGGAAATGTAATCGGGTAGTTGGTTTTTTTATGACTAAAGACTTTCAACCGGCTTAGGATAGGGTCAGTAACCATTGAGTAACTAAATCTAGACCTTTAGATTTAAGTGGGTCCAGAAAATTCAGATCTAAAGGTTCTCAATTAAAGGCATTTTATTTTCCCTAGTTTTCTTAATCGGCTCTTATCTTTTTCATTCTAACTCAGATTTCAATTTTTTTGCACAGATGGAACGAGTTCGTTGTGCTCTACAAAATGAGATCAATTTTCAATATATTTCGAGAAACTTTTTTTTTACCAACTACATACCATATAGTAACTTCTTCGTTTTTAAGTCGTTTTTGAAAACGTTTCCTCAGAAGAAACGAGTTCATCATGATCATTTGGATCTATAAATTTCTAGGTGAAAAAATACTGGATAAAAAATTACCATACTTTATCACTATGGTATGTAGGTGGTAACTTGTAGTAAACAATATTGAAAGTCGTAAATGATAGTTAGTATACTTCTACTATCATGTATTCAACCTTCTTACCATATTTGTATATTCATACCATCATGGTACACTTTCTTACCATATGGTATTAAATAGGAGCATACCATATGGTAATGACTGGTAAAAAATTATTCAATTTTTTTGTACTAAAAATATATCAATGTGGATATCATTTTAAAGAGAACATTTAATATGATTTATTTGTGCAAAAAAAAATTAAATTACGACTTAAAACGAGAGAGAAATCGTTTTTTAAAGATTAAAGGGGAAAAAACAAAAAGACTATCCAGAAGAGAGAGGATAGTGATGTCATGCTGATGTGGACAGGTTACTCATGGTTAGACCTGATCCGTTCCCCTTGCAACCTCATCAAATTTGGTAATGGTTCCATGTCGTGAAGGAATTCATTTTAACACATACAACGTTATTGGTCCGACCTAAGACCCAATCAACATGGACAAACCAGGGTCCATGTCAAGACATGTCGGTCCATGCAATAATGTCCAACTCTGAATCGGTCAGACAGTCCAAAGAAATTCATTTTCTTATCCTTCATGTTATCCGATTGATTCACGTTGGGGCGGGGTAATGCCTAATCTACAGCAGCGTGTGGCACGATATGGTGTACTGCTTTCGACATGTATTGTCCAGTCCCGGCCCGTTCTTAATTCGCCCTACCTCGATTTATCTCAACATTTATTAACAGGACAGGCCAATTGAAATTTCAAATCAGCAGAAAAGAAGACGTTGGAAGGAAGAAGAAGAAGTTGACCAGAGAAGGTTTCTCTTTTAGTTGAAACGCATCGTTAGTAGCTAAGGGTGTCGTTTGGTTCTATTTTGAGTGTTGCCTTTCTTTTTCCCCAAGCCTTGCTTTGTTTCCCTTTCAAGTAAAGAGAACAAAATGTACGCAGAACAAAGTAGGCTGGCCATGGTTGTCCTGTAGCCACCAGCCTCTCTATAAATTGTAACTTGTGATGAATGAGAACTCAGGCCTTAGGGTTTCACTCAAACTAAAAGTTTGTTATGGTATCAGAGCCTGGTTGCTCAACCTAGCTCGCCGCCGCCGCCAGTGAAACCATGGCAGACAACAACGATGATGAACAAGTCAACAACAACAATGCACAAGAGCAACATCAACAACTCTATCAGATGGAGGACCCCTATTTTCTTCACGGATCTGACCAACCAGGTATCCTCTTAGTCACAAAGAAACTTAACACTACAAACTACAATGATTGGAGTAGAGCGATGTATAATGCACTAGCTGCTAAGAACAAGTTGGGGTTTGTTAGTGGTGTTCTGGTTGAGCTAGATCCAACAGATCCAAGGCATGGGGCTTGGATCAGGAACAATGTTATGATCCTAAGCTGGATCCAGCAGTCTGTTGAAACAGAGATAAGGAAGACCATCCTTTCTAGTAAGACAGCCTATGAGGCTTGGAAGAGTCTGCAATCTAGGTATGGGGCTGGTGATATTATAAGGGTTGCAGAGATTGAGGAGTCTCTGTCTAACCTGAAACAAGGAAACCAGACAGTGACAGAATACTATGGAAGGGTTATCACACTCAGGGATGAACTCGAAAACTACCAGCCACTACTCCCATGTGACTGTACACCCACCAACCACCTTACCTGCAGAGCTATGAAGAAAGTCCAGGAATACCAGGACACAAGCTATGTCATCAAGTTCCTTAGAGGACTGAATGATAATTTTTCTACTGTGAGGTCACAAGTTATTTTTGGTGAGGAATTGCCCAACATTAATAGAGTTGATGACTCGATATTTGCACATGTTTTCCCCTTTGTTTCTTGATCGCTTGAGCTTTAATTATCGCGTCTTTGGCCTATTTTACCTTTGTCACATTTCAGGTCCTAGCACATAAAGTGAAGCATAGGCGCAAGTTTCAAGTCAATCAGAGATCAATTGGTGATTAGGGAGAAGAAACTCGGGCATGACCTGAAGAAGAATGGATTTGTACCTCACTTTATGGACAAAGAATCATGCAAGCTTGTAATTAAAATAAAGAGGACGAGACTACGAGCGTTGGGGATCAAACGGCGACTGATTCGGAGTCCGGACGAGGGAGAAACGAAGCATTGAATATAGGGGAATAGGTTAGGCAGTAAAAACACGGGCGCGCCTAAATCAAAACACGGCCGTGTCCATATTTAGGCACGACCGTGTTTTGGCCGACGCGCGCGGGCGTGTTTTTAACACGGGGCAAAACACGGGCGGGAAAAAGCAAAACACGGCCATGTCCTCGACAGTGTTTTGCCCAGAATCGGGTTTTTAAAGCCAATTTCGAGCCAAAGGAGAGGTAGAGCTGGGTTTTGGATCCCAAACACCCAAGGGACGAACCAAAGAGAGAGAGGGCGATTTGAGGGCATTCTAAGCGTGGAATTGGAGGATTTCTTCGCCTTGGAAGCTCGAGGAACAAGCCCAGACTTGAAGACTGATCATCTGAAGATTCTTACTGCAGTCTCTCTCTTCTCTATGGAGTAACTTCCATTCACTTAGGTTTTGAGGAACCCTAGCTATGTTTGTTTGATTGGATGATTGTATGAGTACTCTGACTTGATAACCTTGAGTTCATATTCAATCTATGCATGTTTTCATGATTCAATTCTGCTTTAGTCGAGATTATTGATTCTGCTTTGATCCTATGAGAGCGAATACCTGATTATGTCAATAGAGCACCATAGATTGATAGTAGTGGATCGATTGCTTTAGTCGAGGGTTGATTCGCTGCTTTGTATCGATTGAGAACCTCTTTCGATAGAGGGAGTCTAGTTCAGAACGCCTTGATAGGTTGTTCTAGAGAAGGATACGTCCCTCTAGGCAATTGACTCAAGAGGGCCTTGTTCCTTTAGTCGAGACTCAAGGTCTAGTCAAGGATTCTCCGCATTGTGAATGAAAGTGAAACAGGTTAAAGATCGTCAATCATTAATCTGGCTAGTGGCTAGGGGGAATCATACCTAAGTGAGTTCCCAACCTGTAATTAGATTAACTTTAACTGTAGTTTGCTAGAGTAGTTTTAGTTCTTCCTTATTAATCTGGTTTGCTAAATAATGAACTGAAGCTGAGTAATAGTAACTCTAGAGATCCGTGGATTCGATATTTATTACTTGAGCCACTATACTGCAGTCCCTTCCATTGGTTACACTTGGCCATTGTTAGGAGTTGTGTCATAGCGAGTCAAGAGTCTTTCAGAGAATGCTGCAACATGAAAGACAGATGTATGGGACACAAAAAGGTAAGATGATTGCTGCTGCAAGTGTGGATTCGACAGTTCTTGCTGCTCAAGGAGCAAACAGAAGGCCAAATACAACAGGAAAAGGCCTTTCTGTACTTATTGCAAGAAGGAAGGACACACTGAAGAAGTATGTTACCAGAAACATGGATGGCCTCCTGGAATGGATACAAGAAATCCAGGAGGTCAAAGCAAAGGACTCGAATGCAACTACTGCAGGAGGCAGGGACACACAGAAGAGAGATGTTTCTTTAAACATGGCTTTCCTCCCAGCAGCAACAGTAGGGGTTCCACAAGACAAGGAAGAGGAAGAGGATATGCAAACATGACCTCTACCAATCAGAATGATCAAGACATCAAACTCACCAAAGAAGACTGACAAAAATTGATGAATTTGCTTCGCCAGAAGCAATCTGGTGGTTCTTACACTGCTGCTGCTTTCATCAACAGTCCAAAGGAACCAGGTAAATTTCTTTTGACTGCTCCCATACTTAATCAGAAAAACAAGAAGAACACACTATGGATTCTAGATACTGGAGCATCAGATCAGATAGTGTGTACTCTTGACAGCCTAGTTGAGTATAAAGAGATAAACAATGTGTTTATCACACTCCCTACTGGAGACCAGATCAAAGCTACACATATTGGAACAACTAAGTGTACTGATGATCTCATACTTGAAGATGTTCTGTACATACCCCATTTCACCTTCAACCTAATTTCTGTGAGCAAACTCACTTCCAAAAAACCTCTCTACCTAACCTTTTACTCTAACTTTTGTCTCATACAGGACCTGGAGAAGAAGAAAATGACTGGTTCTGCTAGACTCACCAATGGACTCTACCACCTAGAAGTAAACCATAGCCCTAAATACATCACTGCTGCTAGGACAAACACTTTTGATCTGTGGCACTTTAGATTAGGACATGTTTCCCATTCTAAGATTCCACACCTCAGCCAATTTTGTACCTCCATTCAAACTATCAAAGACCAGCCTTGTGATGTCTGTCATTTTGCTAAGCAAAGAAGACTTAGCTTTCCTATCAGTCAATCTGTAACTCATCAACCTTTTGAGCTTATTCATGTTGATTTGTGGGGTCTCAATTCTATTCCTACTTTTGATGGTTATAGGTATTTTTTAACCATAATTGATGATTACACTCGAATGACATGGATTATGTTGTTAGAGTTAAAATCAGAAGCAAGGCAAAAACTGCTTGCCTTCTGCAAGCAGAATGAAAGACAGTTCAACACTAAAATCAAAAGAATCAGGAGTGATCAAGGTAAAGAATTCCAAATGGATGATTACTATGCTGACAAGGGAATCATTCATGATATGTCTTGTGTCCAAACCCCCCAACAAAATAGCAAAGTTGAGCGCAAACACCAACATATTCTTGCAGTTGCTCGAGCCTTAATGTTTCAAGCTGATCTGCCAGCTACATTTTGGGGTTTCTGTGTTAAACATGCAGTTTTTCTCATAAACAGAGTACCTTCTACTGTCTTAAACAACAAAACACCCTATGAACTCCTACACAACAGAAAACCAAATCTTTCTCAGTTAAGGGTGTTTGGCTGTTTATCCTTTGCTAGCACTCTAGGTAACCACAGAACCAAGTTTCAACCTAGAGCTAGAAAGGGTATCTTTATAGGGTTCACTTCAGGGATTAAGGGTTATTTGATTTATGACCTTAATACTCATGAAACCTACATATCCAGAGACGTTGTCTTTTATGAGAATGATTTCCCCTTCAAAAGCCTAGCAAGCAGTGATGTATCCCCTACCCCAACCAATTCTTCTCCCTCACCACCTTCACCGCTTGTCTTTGATGACTTCTACTTCCCTCCTCATTTCCATCTCCTACTTCTTCCCAACATTCAGATCACTCACCCATTCCCTCTCCTTCCCCACAGCTCAATTCCTCCCCAAGCTCTACTTCTAGTCCTTCCTCCCCAAGTCAATCCCCACCACCTAACTCTTCCCCTCAACCTCATGTTCGTCGTTCATACAGACAATCAAAACCACCCTCTCATCTCACCAAAGACTACCACTGTTTCTTGTTACAAAAGTCTAGCTCTACCAGTCAGCTTTCATCTCTCCAGGACATGGGCAAAAGGTATCCTCTTTCTTCCACTCTCTCCTATGATTCTCTGGCTCCTCATTACAAACACTTTGTTCTTAGTATCTCATCTCATACTGAACCTAGCACATATGAAGAAGCCTCCAAGTCCCCTTACTGGAATGCTGCAATGCAGCAAGAAACTACAGCTTTGATACAAAATGAAACATGAGATGTTGTTGAGCTACCAGAAGGCAAGAAACCCATTGGCAGCAAATGGGTTTACAAACTCAAATTCGAATATGATGGTTCACTTGATCGATTTAAAGCCAGAGTTGTGGCCAAAGGTAACACACAGCAAGAGGGAGTTGATTACCAGGACACTTTTGCCCCAGTAATCAAGATGACTACAATCAGGACTTTCTTAGCTATAGTAGCTATGAGGAATTGGCATGTTCACCAACTGGATGTGAACAATGCCTTCCTCCATGGAGATCTCCAGGAGGAGGTCTACATGACTCTCCCTAAGGGTTGTACACCACCTACTGGTTTCAAACATCCAGTGTGCAAACTGAAGAAGTCACTTTATGGGTTGAAACTAGCTTCAAGGCAGTGGTTTTCAAAACTCACTGACAAACTACTTCACCTAAAGTTCATACAGAGCAAGACTGGCCATTCTTTGTTCTACAAAGCTACTGAGTCCACCTACACTTGCATCCTCATCTATGTGGATGACTTGCTCCTAGGTGGTAATGATTTACAGGAGATTCAGCTTCTCAAGCAAGAACTTCACACTGCCTTCAGTATAAAATACCTTGGTTCTCTACGTTTCTTTCTAGGCATTGAAGTGGCTCGCAACAACAAAGGAATCCATCTTTCTCAAAGAAAATATACACTGGAGATTATTGAAGAATCACAGCTTCTTGATTCAAAGAAAGTCTCTACTCCAATGGATTACAAGACACACTTGAGCAGTGAATGTGAGACACCCTACCCAGATCCAGAGTTCTACAGGACCCTTGTTGGCAAACTAATCTATCTCACCACAACTCGCCCAGATATTAGCTACGCTACTCAACAAGTCAGCCATTTCATGTCTAACCCCAGCATTCAACATTTCAAAGCAGTTCAAAGAATTCTCAGATACCTCAAATCAGCTCCTGCCACTAGTCTTTTCTTCCCAGCTTCTGCCGAGTTCCATCTCAAAGCTTATACTGATTCTGATTAGGCCGCTTGCGTGGACACTAGGAGATCGATTTCTGGGTACTGCATCTACCTCGGCAACTCTCTCATTTCGTGGAAAAGCAAGAAACAAAAGACTGTCAGTCGCTCTTCCTGTGAAGCCGAGTACAGGGCTCTCGCTTTCACTGCCTGCAAGCTTCAATGGCTCCTCTATTTGCTCGCCGATTTCAAGGTAACCCATCCCAAACAGCTACTCTCTATTGTGACAACCAAAGTGCTATCTACATCGCGAAAAACCCTACCTTCCATGAGCGCACCAAGCATATAGAATTGGACTGCCATCTGGTCCGTGAAAAGCTCCAATCGAAGACTCTGAAGCTCCTCCACGTTTCTTCCTCGCACCAGCTGGCGGATTTGTTCACGAAGCCACTCTCCCCTGCTTCTTTTCGTTATCTCTTCTCCAATCTTGGTGTGCATAATCTATGCCCACCAGCTTGCGGGGGGGGGGGGGGGGGGGGGGGTAACAGGACAGGCCAATTGAAATTTCAAATCAGCAGAAAAGAAGACGTTGGAAGGAAGAAGAAGAAGTTGACCAGAGAAGGTTTCTCTTTTAGTTGAAACGCATCGTTTGTAGCTAACGGTGCCATTTGGTTCTATTTTGACTGTTGCCTTTCTTTTTCCCCAAGCCTTGCTTTGTTTCCCTTTCAAGTAAAGAGAACAAAATGTACGCAGAACAGAGTAGGCTGGCCATGGTTGTCCTGTAGCCACCAGCCTCTCTATAAATTGTAACTTGTGATGAATGAGAACTCAGGCCTTAGGGTTTCACTCAAACTAAAAGTTTGTTATTTATCCTATTTTGATCTACCTAACTCATATTTTCATCCAATGATACTTTAGATATGTGATGATCATTGATGTTTATCTAGTGTAATATTTTCTTATCATCGATGCTTGTGATTCTATAGTATACTACTATATGCATTGTGCTTAGTATCATTTAGGTTGTTAAGAAATTATCCTCTAGCGATACTTCATTGATGTTACACGAGTATAGAGAGAATGATCAACCATCTATATCTCGAGTAGTATCAATACTTTACTGTTAGATCGTCGATGCTATAAACGATAGATTATGACTCAAGAGGCCCACACTTAATCATGTATTATTTTCACTTTTATGTTCTTCATTGATTAGGCGATGAGATGACATGAAAGCACACATTAGTTAGTCAAGTTCCAATTGTATGTGGTGAAAGCTAGAGTAGGATGAACTTAGTAGAAGGAATAGGGTGATGCTATAGATGAATCGTCAATGCATCATCAAAATCGCGCTTAAAAACTTAAAAACTTACGATTTTACGTTTCTAGATCACTAAAACGCTTCTACATACAATCTCAGTTTTTATAACTTGTGTAGTTAAAAACTCCGCTTTAAAACTTAAAAACTTACGATTTTACGCTTCTAGATCACCAAAACGTTTCTACGTATAGAAACTCGCTTTTGACTACATTAGATGCATGATATGGATGAGTGTTGATGTATATGTTGAATTCGAGCATGATTTTTTATTCAATAACGTATCTTTATTTTTATGCCTCTATATAACTTGAAAACCCCTTTAACACCATTTACTTTCATTGTTTGATTTACTTGATGCTCATTGTTTCTCCTATTTGAAAGCACGCTAAATATATTTAATATTCATGTTCAAAGCATGGATGGTATGATGTGAGTAGCTATGCATTAGAAGATCTTGTGGAATATGATCCTAGGGCATCCTTGGATTTACCATTTGCATGTACAATTTAGTCATTAAAGCCTGTGACAAGGATCACAACGTGACTTAGCATTTTTTGCCTGATCTAGAGGCCGCAAACTCACCTCCAGCGCCAACCAAAACGAATGTGTTTAAGGACCGGGGGCTAGGATGGAGGATCACCATCGTGATCTCACAATCATGATGCTGCAATCTTGTATGTGTCCCTAGCCACCTATGAATATGAGGAGACCTATTTTTTTTAGAGGGAGTCGGCATAGAACGAGAAATTAGGGTTACTGGACCGTTTTAGAGAGAGAAAACACCTTGAGTGAGCTTAGGAAGGAGGATTCCATCCAAGATTCAAGGAGAAGGGTGCTATCCGAAGAGAAGAAGATGACTTCCAACATTTCCTCTCTTCTTTATTTATGTTTCTTCTCTATATGACTTGAACCCCTGAGGTTGTTTAGGGGAGATGAATTATAGTATGTAGCTAGAGTTTGTTGATTGAATGATATCTATATTATGATTTGTGTCCATATAGTGTGTTAATGCTTCTAGTTGTGATTTAGATGCATGATTTTGTACATTGCTTGAATTAGACCTAGGCAAGTTCTTGTTTGTGTAATTTTTTTTTTGAAAGACATACGTCAAACGTCTAGATCACATTAGCAATAACACGTTCATGGGAGATTCCCATTACATCACGGTTGATCTATTGGATCAAATCCCTATCGCACACGTTGAAGGGATGTGTGCCAAAATCATAATCCTGAGCCTTGCTTGCCAAGAACTTGACAGTGAAATTGGCTTCCCTATACACATGGGACACTCTAACGTTCCATTGTAGATCAAATTTGCGGATAAGTTGATCATCTGATCCCCTTCCAATTAGGAACCTACCTAGTAGATGCTATTGAGGTGAGTGTGTGACCATCGACTCACCATACTAGTGTGAGGACGGGTAGAACTCGTTTAGAGGATGTAGACCTTACATCTAGTCACAGAAGTTGATTGTGGTGACAATGAAGTATGAACCAACGAATGCGACTAGAAGGGGGACCAGGAGACATGACTATTTGTTGATGCCAAGCTTGGAGGAGCCTGCTTCAATGTGTTTGAGGTCCGGTGAGCGCCGATCTTACTGGCCAACGTCCGCCACCAGCCTCCGATCGAGATGGACACCTGCAAAACAAAAGGACCCGCCGGCGGTGTGTCGGCGGGGACCTTCTCCGAAGCTCAAGTCAGTATTGAGAGGAGAGTAACCGGGAGCGACATATTGAGCTGGCTCTTGAGAGAGATTTAGAAGTTCCACTCCAAAATCAACTGCCCAAAAAGCATAAATGAGCGTCCTATTTATAGGTGCCTCCTGCTTTGGGCATAGATGGCGTGTGAGTAATAAAATAATAATAAAAAAATATATCAACCTTCCAACCACCTAATGTGCAATGGATGGTCGTGTAAAGAAATAACACATACTTGTCTGCCTTGTACCTTTTCACGTCTAGGTGTCTAGGTGTAAGAGTGAAGTGGATGATGGTAAACAAAGACATCTTCATCTCCATGTTAAGACGAATTGGTCAATTGGGGTTTAGAGTGGGTGGGTGATGGAGGAACTTACAAATTGGCAAGTGTATTCATTGGTGGTAGGGGTAATGACTAATTAGGAGTTAAACCCAAACCTCCTTTTCTCACCAATGAACACGTGGCCATGAGGTGTCATTTAGGGGGGAATTACTTTCTCCAAATTAGTTGTCAAAGCACCAAAAAGTGAGGTGGCGAAATATACTTGCCTTTTGTCATGCATGTGTAATGAAGGGAAGCTTTTGTCATTGTGTATGTTTAAGTGAGATAAATCATCTCCAAACCAATTAAATGGGGATGAAGAAACACTTACCACCTTACATTTGCTTCTTCTTTTCCACGTGGAAGTCAAGGGTAAAGGAGGATGGTTGCTTGATATAATTATAAGGAAACACAACACATAAAACACCCACCTCATATATTACGTGTAAGTGTAATGAGCATTGTATGGCGGACATGTATGTAGTTGGGTTTCCTTTGATGAGAAATGCTGGCTTGCCACATCCCACTCTTGGTCCACGTGGAAGAGGAAGTTTTGGGTGGGATTTATGTGTTTCTTATTTCAATTGTTTGGATGATAGCAAACACTAATTGTAACCTACCATACAATTTCTCTCTTTGGCTACGTTTAAAAGAGAGGATAGATGATATGTTAATTGTATTTTTAATATGTAAGACATTCATGAAAAAATGATAATGATGTACGATGTCGGTTGAATACTGGGTTAATCACTATTGGTAGTGGTTTGCGTAGTTATAGACTTATAGTAGTTTTTTTTAAGTTTGTAGTAATTTTTTATAACTTATGGTAGTGATTCTTATTAAAAATCATCAATCAGTACAAATTAAAATTTGTTAAATCACTACTAGTTACATGAAAATAAATATGAATCATTATAAAAACAATACGATCAGCTATCAATATTAATTAAAATTTCTTAAATCACTACTACTGACAATAAAATCGCTACTATCCGCCAAAATCATAGTAGAAATGAAATTATTAGTAATTTGCTATAGAAAATGGCTACTAAAAAGAAGATAGATAAAATAGATTTTATACTTTCATTAATGTATTTTATTTTTTTTAAATACCAAACATGCCCTTCATTAATCATTACCAACCACCGTCAAATTCAACTTAAAGAATAGAAAGTAGCATCCAACACTTTTTCGACCAAGATATTATCCTCCATGGGCCATTGACAGAACGAGAAGACTGAAACATCAAACATGTGTCCTTTTATATGGTATTCATATATGAACAAATATTTTAAAAATAAATATTCAAATTATTCATTGACGAAAGATGAAATAATATACTATTACAAGTTTTCTTTGTATAAAAACTGTGACGTGTTACCATAGTCGAAAAGAATTATTAAAAAAACATTATTTTTTATATTCTTAAGTAATGTAAAACTAAAAAAAAATTATTATATAAGAAACTTCTCATATTACGTAAATGTCTAGTATTCGAGTTCTATATATACACCTATTTGGGGTTGTGATTTTTCTCCAAATTTTAGGTGTGTCGTGACAACCCCAAATAAAGGTTTACTTCGCCACTAATTTGGGTCTCCCCACATGGTTTTGGTTTTTGGATAGGGACTGCAATGGTCTTGTCCGTAGCGGACCGCATCGTACCAAATCGAAGTTTGGATAGGACAACATCGAGTATTATGCAGTCCAGTTCTTGGTCCAAATAAATTTTACAATTACCGAAGAAATGATGGACCGAAATGATATTTGGACCGGACCAAAACGAACTGAATGCAATGATGGTCCAGTCGTTGGTCCTAAGATGTCTTTCACTAATTGACCGCGGTTTTCAACCGTTGCACGCTCCTACTTTTGGGTGCATTAAGGTGATTTTCCGGGAGGTCATCTTTCTATGTGATGCTCCATATTGCGCACGAACTTAGGACTTCTTATAATAACTAATTCATCTCACTAAAAAAGCATCTTATAAATTAAGATTGGATTATTCGGATTAATTATGAATTTCTCTCCTACTTTGTCGATAAATGATTTGTCGATATATGTTTTATCGACATACTGTTCCCTCTTATGGGTTTATGCAACTTAATGAACTACACCTTCAGTAGGTATAGATTGAGGGTAAATGCCATATTTGATCACTGATATTACTAACTCGTGTCATGTTTAGTCACTAGAAAAATTTAATATCAATTTTGGTCACTTGAATTACTGGAATAAGTCACATTTAGTCACTCAGAAGTTAGTTTCAGTCCAACTTCATTAATAGAGTTGGACGGAAACTAATGGAAGAGTGACTAAATGTGACATGTTTCAGTAATGCAAGTGACTAAATGTGGCATGTTTCAGTAATTCGAGTGACTGGAGTTGGACGGAGGCTAACGGGAGAGTGACTAAATGAGACATGTTTCATTAATTCGAGTGACCGAAATTGATATTAAATTTTTCTAGTGACTAAACATGACACGATTTAGTCATTTTAGTGACCAAATGTGGCATTTACCACATCCAACCTCCCCAAATAAACACATGAGCTTGAATGACAAAATGGATTCCAGCTCTCATTTTATACCATAATAAATTTTCCAATGATTCCAACTATAATAAATTTTCCCATCTAAGATTATTAGACATCACGAAGTAAACAAATAATTTTTGTAAAATATTCTAAATTGGGATATCACTGTGCAAATTAGTAAAACAATGGACCAAGTTATATTACTAGGGAAGTGACTAGAGGTGGCAATTAGGATCCAAATCCATGAATCCAATCCATCCACCAAATTATCCACCTAATCCAATCCATTTAAATCCAAATCCAATTGGATTGGTGGATTCATGGATCAATCCATGGATCCAAATGGCAAATTACGATTTGGTACCTATTTTTTTATATTTTACATTTTGGTACCTAAATTTTATATTTCTATACGAAAAATATCATTGGAAAATATCATTTTGGTACCTAAAATTTTTCATTATGACATTTTAGTACCTAAACTTTTCAAAATTTACATTTTGGTCCAAGCCTTGGATGTCATTTGGATTTATGGATCAATCCACCAATCCATTTGATCCAATCCATGAATCCACCAATCCATTGGATCCAATCCATTTGACCCATGGATCCACCAATCCAATCCACGAATCCAATCCAATTGCCACCTCTAGAAGTGACGGACTGACGGACGGTCGCGTAGAAACATGACCATCAAATGGAGGTTGACCGTGATGAGGAGATCACATTGACTTGATGGCTCGCTCATGAGAGTAAAGAACCATATTTGAAAGATTTTTTATTTTATTTTATGGAAACCTGCTTATCTTATTAATAAGAAGAAACACATACATTGTCCAATATCAGCGGATTAATAAGGAAATTTGGAGGACTATCAACCCACACTACCTGAGAATCCAAGCTTATATCACAATGTGCCATAATGTGTGCCGCCATATTCCCTTGGCGTTTTGCGTGCTGCCAAGTACCCTCGCCCATATCTGTTAGGAGACCCCGCACACTTCGACAAATTGTGCCAAGCTCAATTTGAATCGACTCCGCAACTTGTAACTTTTGGATGAATGACAAACAATCAGATTCCAGCTCCACCTTTCGTACCGACAGTTGACGCGCCATACGTAACCCAAACTCAACCGCTAATGCCTCAGCCATCTCCGGTTCCCAGCTCCATCTTGTTTTCATGGCTGCTGCAAAGATAAACTTTCCCTCTTCATTATGACCAACCGCTCCTAAGCCCACTCCCTCATTCAAGATGATACCAGCATCTGTGTTAACTTTTATAACTCCCACAGTTTCATTCAAAATGGTTGCTGTTAGTCTAATGTAAATTCTAATTTAATACGAGCAGGAGTAAAAAAAACTTTCCTACCAAAAGGGAAGGAACAACCAATTAACTAGGGCTGGGAAACGGTGCGGTCTGGTATATACAGTCTATGGTCCAAACCGAGAGGCTAAAGTATAGACCACAGACCAGACCACAGACTATACGGTCTGGTCTAGACCACGCCTATGCGGTCTGGTTCGGTCTGGTCTAGTCCACATAGACCACACTCAACGAAAAATGAATAATTTGTTTAGTCAACCACACAAAAAATTGAACCATTAACCAGGAAAATAATTGTTATTTGCCTTAAATCATTAATCCTAACATGCATGAATAATTTTGATACTCTAAATCTTAGTACATAACAAAGATACAAAGTAAAAGCATCCCAACTTGCACCATAACGTCATAAACATTAACATAATGTCATATGGAGACACGATTATCTCTACTCTCTGGTTAAATGTGGTTGTGAATGAAGGAGGGACGAGATTCACAAAACTAAGGTTCAGACTTGGGTGTCGTTGCAGGAATTGGGAGAGTGGTCGAATGAGCTGTTAACACGTATTGACAAGTCAGTTGGGTCCACGGTTTGGTCCGGTAAACCGCGGTCTAGACTAGACCAGACCAAGAGATCAAAACATAAGATAATACAGACCATGGACCAGACCAGACCATACTTAACGGTCTACGATCCGAACCAAACTGTACGGTACAGTTTGGACCACGGTTTTTCTAACGGTCTGGTCTATTTTCCCAGCCCTACAATTAACCATAGCAATCGACAAAGGAGAAAAAAGATCAAGTACGGGCCCGTTAATCATTGCCCGTTTGGGCCTCTATTATCCATCAATTATGAGCACTACCTGCCAATTATACGGCCCACGGAAAAAAAGAAATTGGCCGGCCCTAGGTCCCCTCAGTTGAAAATAAAAGCCCGAAAATAAAAGCCCGCCCTCTGCTGTTATTCAGTGGGTACTCGAGAGTCGAGACTGTACTGTTGGGTTCAAGGCAACGACAAAATCGAAAATCCTGAATAATTGTTTCCCCAATTAATTAATCGCACATTTTTTTTGAAAAATAATTAAGATTTCACAGCTCGAATTTTATGCCACCTAAATCCACTCGATAAGGAAAATTCTAGTTAAATAATATTCTGATTTTCTCAATCTACTTGAATTGAATTAAGCTAATTACAATTATCCCTAATTCCCTACTAATTATTAGAAAAAGAACCCCATTAGGAAGCTTCTTTTAATCTTTTTTCATACTGGGCACTGAGCAGCAGCGACAACAACCGCTTTTCCTTTTTCCCTATTGCGCTTTCCCTTTTCTCCTTTCCCTCTCAACTTTTCTTCCCTGATCTTTCTCCGGCTAATCAGTGAGCCTGGAAAAAGAAAATCGTCCTCGTTCTTTCATTTCATTTTCTCCCTGCTGGATCACAATTCCGCTAAACGGGGAGAAATGGGGAGCGTTTCGTCGGAGGACGACGGCGAGCGGTTCGAGCTCGACGGGTACAGCTTGAGCGCCGACGTCAGCGAGTCGGAGAACAGTTCCAGCTGCGCTTCGTCGTCTTCGTTTCGGCATTGCGGCGGCGGCGGCTGCGGAGGAGGAGGAGGAGGAGGAGGAAGAGGTTCCGCTTCTTTCCTCACGTCTTCCTGTTCCCTTGCTCCACCACTCCATGACGCGACTGAGTTGGATGACGAGTTGCAGGCGCCGCCGGTCACACTGATGCCGCCGGTGATCGGCGGGAGGCACGTTGTGATTCCGCCGAAGAAGGGTGAGAAACCGGAGTCGGAATTGTCTGGTTAGTCTTTCTTCCGCGAGCTCTCTGAATTCTAACTTTTGGCGCCGTTTTTGTAGGGAGACCTAACGGCTTTGCTTCTTTTGCTTTTCCTCTTTCGGTCAATTGTGGAATTGTGGATTCTATTTCTGGTTAGAAAGCTCTTCGTATGGACTGTGTGTGATTATTGAGCAAGGCGTTTCTAAGTGTTACATTTCCTTCGATTAGATTCTGTTTGGTATCTCAGGAATTTAAGCAAACAGGTGGAGGACAATTATTTTGCTCCAACGACTGTGCTTAATGCAGATTGTTCATGATTGAACTAGAAACCCTTTCAGTCTGCTTGTCATGATGCTATTACCAATTCTGCTTTCGCAGAAACTGAACTAATGAAGGAGAGATTCGCCAAGCTTCTGCTCGGAGAAGACATGTCAGGTGGAGGAAATGGAGTTTGCACTGCTCTGGCTATCTCCAATGCCATCACCAATCTCTCTGGTTTGTTCCCTTTTGGAAGTGTATCGACATGAGTTCAAATTTAGTAGATGGGTGGCTAGGATTTAAGTTGATCAATTATGCTGGCCTGTGTTCTGCAGCTTCTGTGTTCAGCCAACTGTGGAAGTTGGAACCATTATCACCTCAAAAGAAGGCAATCTGGCATCGAGAGATGGAATGGTTCTTATCTGTAAGCGATTTCATTGTGGAGCTAGTTCCATCGGTCCAGAATTTCCCCGGCGGGGGAACCTTTGAGATCATGGTGCCACAGCCACGGTCAGACATTTTTGTCAATGTCCCAGCTCTGAAGAAGCTGGACGCCATGCTGCTCAAAATACTAGATGGGTTCTCTAATTCAGAGTTCTGTTACGTGGAGCGTGGAATTGTGATTTCTGGGGATGACGACACCAAGAACTTCATGCTGTCCTTGACTTCTGGGTCAGAGACGTCGTCGGTGAGGCTGGGTGAGAAATGGTGGCTGCCGTTTCCTAAAGTTCCTCAAAAGGGTTTGTCTGAGAATGCCAGGAAGAAGTTGCAGCAGGGTAGGGAATGCACCAGTCAGATTCTTAAAGCTGCCATGGCTATTAACAGCAATGTGCTTGCTGAGATGGAAATCCCAAATGCTTACTTGGACAGCCTGCCCAAGGTAATAATGCAAAACTCTGTCTCTTCCATATAAATTAGTGGGTACATTCGCTGCCATTGATTCTTTGGTGGTGGGTGGTTGATTCTTAAAATATAAAATATATTTTGAGATACATAGATGGTGACTGTTTAAATGAATATGATAGTTTCTCCTAATAATGCTTAACGTACTAGCATTCTAATCATAGTATTTCATAATAAGGGCAAATTAACTATAGAAATTAATCATTGACAATATGGTCATAAAGGCTACTGGATTTTAATGTATCACTTCCCATCCACTACATTTCCAAACCCTAACCCGCATTCTCTATCCTCTTCAATCTCTGTAATTTGATTTTCAAGTGTTTTCTTTCTTTTTACCCTTATTCTTTGTGTATCTGCTGTCAGAGCGCGAAATCTTGTTTAGGAGAGACGTTACATGGTTACCTAGCTGCCGACAAGTTCTCTCCTGATGGCTTCCTGGATCACTTAGATTCGTCCTCAGAATTCACCAGTCTGGAAGTAGCTAACCAGATTGAAGCAGCTGCTCATATATGGAACCAGAAATACATAAGAAAGTACATGGCTGGAGGAGGGAGGTCGACATCATCATCGTCATCATGGGGTGGCAAAAAACTTAAAAGCACTGCTACTCCCAAATGCAAGATCCTTGCAACACGGGCCGAGAACGTCTTGCACAGCTTATGCCTTCGGTTCCCTGGCCTCCCACAGACCTCGTTGGACATGAGCAAGATTCAACATAACAGGGTATGTGATATTGACCATTCAATAAATTATCCTCCTGTTGCGCTGTTTCATCACTATCCGTGAACGTGCTTTGATTGTACACAGTACACATATACATGTGCTTTATATGTACGAAGTAAATACACTCACTGATGTATATGCATACTTAGATACCTGATGCTCTGACTGGATATGTGTACAAAGTTGGTTTACTTTCACAGCCTTATATAGATAAGTATAGATAAACCCGAAATAGTTAAGATAGAATTGAGCGTGATGCTCACTACTTGCCGTTCACAAATGCTCACCCACAATTTGTTTCTCTCTCTTTTTGCAGGATGTAGGGCGTGCCATCATCGAGAGCTACTCGAGGGTGGTGGAGAGCCTAGCATTCAACATCACGGCGAGAATCGAAGACCTTCTATACGTGGACGACGCCACAAAGCAACGTGCATCAGCAGAGTCTCTGTACACAGCACAAGGCAGGCTGAGCTGTTCATTTGCCAAACAAAGGTGGATATCCCCCATCGCCCCTTTCTCTTTCGACCATTCCGGTGAGTTAGTCAGTTGTCATCATCATCATCATCATCATCATCACAACGGAACCATGCCGCAGTCTCCAAGGAATAGCCACACTAGGGAAAGGGAACCTCTAGATCAAAGCTCTAGATAAGCTTGCTTTCTGAGAAAATGGGGGCCTAGACTGCCCATAACAGTTTCTTCTTGAGTCTCTCCCGCTCCCATTTCCCTCCAGCACATGGTATAGATTGGCAGAGTTCATGGATCTGTACATATCTAACGTTTATAGTAGTTGAAGAATTGGGAGTCGTTTGGTTATTTAGGGGCAGGGAGGCATGGCAGTGGCTGGCGGGAAGTCGTACGTTGTATTTATAGGAATAGGTAGTCGATTGAGGGTCTGTTTTTATTCGAATTATTAGATATGGTTATGTGTGGGTTCGTTGTAGACTTGTAGGAGCTGAAAGGTGCTGAAGTTGTAATGATCATAGTGATGGTGGGGGTCAAATTTCTCTCTTTGTCGTTGTCAAGCAGAGTGGACCACCAGAATAAGTAACTCGGATTCCACACGGATCTGTGCAGAGGATGAGAATCGAGAGCTGTAAAATTGGATATCTATTGGGAGTTGCTATTTCAGTAAATGTGGTGGAATTTGCCTTGCTGTAAAATTAATGTACTAAAAATTATAGGTAGCTGTTGATAAATGTCGTCCTAAAAATTACTAATGATCGTACTAAAAAATAATATAGTTACATTTTTAATTTTTTGACATTTTTACCTTTTCTTTAGCAAACAAACACCACCTTCACTTAGAAAGCAAAAAACACTCATTCTCTTGCACTCTTGAATTCATCATCAACATTTGGAAACCGTAATCGTCGAGACTACGTCCGAACAATGAGTAGCGACTCTGACAAGGTAAAAATCTCGATTTTTTTTAAAGAAACCCAAAAAACCTCAACCGAAGGTAATTTTTAGTTGGTCCATGGTTCAACCGAAAATCAGATTCGGTTAAACCATGAACCAACCGAAAATCACATTCGGTTATGCCATGGACGAACCAAAAATCTGTTTCGTTTGGGCCATGGTAGAAACGAAATTTGGTTTCGGTTGATCCACGGTAGAACCGAAAATTGCCTTCGGTTAAGCCATGGTGGAACTGAAAATTGTCTTCGATTAAGCCATGGTGGAACCGAAAATTGTCTTCTGTCGATGGATTTTGGGTTTTTTTTAGTTTATATCAAATATTTCTATTCTTTTGTTATGATTTATAATTTGGTCTATAAGATAGTTTGTTGAATTTTAGTTTATATTATTTTTTAAATTTATGAGCATAATTATTTGTGAAATGGAATGTTGTATACAAATGAAGATTAGATGTATAATACGCAAATAAAGAATAGAAAAATCTAGTATATGATTAATATGGTTCTTACATTAGATGTAGTATGTATATAATATAGAATATGATTAAACTGATCCATGCACACCTCCCAGAAAACGATGTAGGTGCTGCAAGAAGCTGGGCAGTACACATCCTTGGGAACCATCATCGTACGGGGGATAGTCTGTCGGTACCCAAACTGTCGGCGACACCGTGCAGGATCATAACCCTCAGCAACGTCAGCAAAGCGAATGACACCAGTATACAAAGAGCGTAGTACCTCCATGCCAGCATCTTGCCCTTAAAGAGTCCAAGAGACATCCTCCCCTGACATCTCATCCAACATTTGTCGATATCGTACCAAGCGCTATCTAGCATCATCACCACCTGCAAAGCTGTGACACACCCACGAGGAAGCACGAGGAGCATCTGGAGCCTGGAGAATCTGGCTCGAACGGAAGAGTGGAAAGTACTCATATATCCAAACCTGAAGCGGAGTCAAACAACCACAAATACTCTTACTCCCCACTCGTGTAGCCATCCCTAGCTGTCTGTAGAGATACACGAGTGCAGCAGCTCCCCAAACGTAACTGACCACTTGTCGCTGGTCCTTCAGAAATACATTGATCGCAGGACAGAGAATATCGCGACTCTTATCCACAAAAAGTGTGGATCCCAACAACACAAACAAGTAACACTGCACCTCCAGGTCCCTAATCTTCATTTCTCGTCCACGCACCAACAATCCCTTTGCATGTATACCACCATTAAGGAACCACTTCGACTTCCACTTACCACCAACTAAACAATCCACCGGGACCCGAACTAGATCATGCATGTCTAACTTAAGAACATCCGGATGCGGGTCATCTCTCATCAGCTCCCCCTCAATTGGAATACGAAGAATGTGATGCACATCGTGGAGAAGAATCGACATCTCTCCAAATGGCATGTGGAAGGTGTTCGTGTCCGGATGCCATCTCTCCACAAATTCTGTTATCAAAGCTGCATCTAAATGTTGCATCATACACCCTGCCAAGTGGGACAATCTTGTGCCCTCAACCACCTTCTGAGAACCCTCTGAACTCCACTCATATCTCCTCAAAGACTCCACATTACCAGATCTATGACAACAATCCAACAACCCACGATCCTGCGTAGGGGAAGTCCACAATGCAAAGGCTATGTGACCTCCGAAGCTTGGGATCACATCGGGAATCACAGGTCCACCTGAACACAGTTGAGACTCCGTTGTCAGACGCCTCGACATGTCCCCCTTACTCCCTTCTTCCTCTTCTTACCATCACCGTCTTCCTCACTACTACGTCTCGCAACGTAGCGTCCATCTAGCCCACACTGTGGAAAGTGCGAAGAAGCAGTAGAAGATGTCCCAACTCGTGTCTTCTTCCCGATGCCTACATCAGATTCAGGTGGGACATGCCCAACCCCATCAACAGTCACATCATCATCATCATCGTCGTCGCCGTCGTCCATAGAAACTGAATCACTCCAATTAGCCTCCCACGGCGTCGCATCCTCAGGTGTAGGGGTGGAGGTAGTACCTCGACTAAGAGATAACTGCCCCATAGTAAGGTCACCGTCAGGACGCCCAACTTCCGCCTTTTTCTTCTTCCCCTTAACCTTACGAGGATTTTTTTTCTTCATTTTTTTTCAACCAGTCGCTGTAAGTCTACAAGCACGACCTTTCATTCTTTCTTCCGTTTTTTCTTCCATTCTTTTCTTAGTCATTTTTTCTAATTTCGGCTAATTTTTAAATTTTCCCCATTATTTCTTATATTTTTTTAACATTAATTAAAAATTTATAGATTATATTTCTAAATCTTGATACTTTTTAAAAAAATTCAGATAATTTTTAATATTTTTTTACATTATTTACAATATTCTTTTCATAATTGAATTCATAAAACTATTAGAATATAATCAAAAAACGTATATTGCTTTGAAAAAGACAAAGTTTTGGTTTAGAGACAGCCAGACCGTTACGTCGAGTGACTTCAAGAAATAGATTGAGATGTTTGAAATGTTGGTCAATGGACGAAGAAAAAACCAGCACATCATCAATATAAACTATTATGAAATCGAAATAAGTAGAGTAGATTTGATTCATAATTCTTTGAAATTCTGAGGGAGCATTTTTCAAACCAAACGACATGACGTTTCATTCATATTGGCCAACTTATTTATAATTAAATGCAATTTATTTATAATTATTACTTAATTTAGAATATTTAATAACAATTTTATTAATTAATTGCATAAAATTATTTAAAAATCAAACCAATCAAAAATTGACTTCGTTTTATAGAAGGCCAACCGAACGTTGACCTCGGTTTGACCGAGGGCCAACCGAACAGCGGGTTCGGTTGTTGAAGGGAGATGCAATCGGGAGATGCAGCGTTTACCTTCTCCGGCGGGAAACAAGAAGGCGCCGGCGACGAGTGCTGGCGCGGACGGACGGCGAGGCGCAGCGGACGGCGAGTGGAGGCGTGGCGTGAGGAGAGGCTGATGGCGACGACGACTGGAGGCGCGGCGGACGACGACTGGAGGGGTGGCGTGGGCATCCGTCCTGCTGCCGGCAGAGAGGAGGTCGGGGTCGGTGAAGGGTTTGGGAATGGGAGGGGTTTGTTTGTTTGTTTTGCGTTTGAATTTCAAAAGGGGTAATTCGGTATATTATGTATTAAGTTAGGACGATGGTTAGTAATTTTTAGGACGACCTTTACCCATTCAGAAATTAATTGGGTTAATGAATTTGGTGTTGTACTAGTTTGGTGGTCACATGAAGGCTAGGCTATGGTATGGCTTGATTTAATTTAGAATCTTACTGAATAGATAAAAACAAAATCAAGTGTTTGTGAAAGTATATCTGGTTCGACGGGAAAATCTTCTGACCAGTTTAAATCGGTAGCCAGTTTTAGCAATATGAAACAGTTCAACAATGACCGAAATTATTTGAACAATTGTTGAATCTCAAATAGGTTGATAGTTAATACCTTATTTTGGCCTGAACTATACCAAAACTTTCTATTTTAGTCCGTGGTTATGAAAGGGTAATGTCTATTTTTTATCCAAACCTTTTCAGATTCTTTTATATTATCCAACCCTATTAAAATGCTATTAATTAGCCAAATATTTCGTAATAAATCAAAATATTATCCATTTTTACGTTATTGTTAATAATTTTGTAACTCTTTTCTTAGTTAAAATACCAAAATTTTGCAATGTTGACCTTCATGTGTCTCTTCCAAGTCAGTATCATGTTGCCAAGTCAATATTAATAACAAAAATGCTAACTGAAAGTTAACATATGGCTAATTCTTAGTATTTCGATAGGTTTGGATAATATAAAAGAATCCGTAAAAAGATTTGGATAAAAAATAGGCATTACCCTTTCTAAAATGGTTCCAATGGTCCAAATTATGCACCATACTTCCTTGCTTGGCCCGACACGGATTTTGACCGTCAAATTGGATGGCCAACTCAATTGACCGTTAGTCAAGCGCCAGGTCACTTGCCACATTAGTGTACCCGAAATAAATTTTGAATATTTAATTTATTTAATTCATTTCTAATAACAATAATAATTGGGGAAAAAACTCGGGCTTGGCCCCAATCCCTCACTTTGTCCCTTTCCTCTCTCCTCAATCGAAAATTGATGGAGAGAAGGAGGCGAGGGTACAATTGCGGGGTTTTTTTTTCGACCTAACCTATGGCGGCGACAGCGGTCGGAGAAGAAGAGGATAGGGTTCTTCTCTATAGTGTTTATCTTTTATGCTCCTTGGTTCGAGTACTAGGACACTACTATTATTAAACATATTAGGGATTGGAGAATAATAATTGGGGATTTAGATTGGGATATGGGGAAGAACAGAGAAAGAAATAATCGGTTGAGACCTTTGAAGAAGAGATAGACAAGATTGGTACAGAGAGAGATTGGGGTTGTGATAATTTTCTAATATTATTCTTAATTAATTCCGAATGAATAACTCTAATATGATTAAACTATTGCTAATATCAATAATTAATAAATAGAATAATACTGTTAATAGAAAATCTGAATCCTCCAAAGACTGGGGGTTTGCTATTTTACACAAATTTTAGGATTTTCAATAGAGGTTACATCTTGTTAGATCAAGTTAATTGGACAGAATATGTTTGTCCTTATCAAACATGTTTCACGGAGAGTTAGTAAGTAGCTAGTAGTGTTTGGTTGATGAGTACTAGTTTCAAAGGGGCACAAATGATGAGGAAGATGACAAAAGGTTGTTTATAATGTTTGTGGATTGACAGACAACATCTTTCTAGCTCCTAATACTTTTATATTCTCTCTCCTTTCAATAAATCTCTCTCAAACACAAAACATCATTTTATGGTATTGTACACCCCCAATTTGTATGTCTCATGCAACTTCTTACAAGTGACCCCAATTATTGGCAACATCTCTCTCATTTTTATCATTCTGGTTTTGATCATTCTGAACCTCTGAACATCTTTAAAAGGCTTCTCACTTTTTGAGTAGGTGTTTAAATATCATACATGAACCTCTTCCAACAACTGAGTTATCTGGACCTGTTGGCTTTTGACATGGTATCAAAACTTGTTTGCCTTTGACGACACGTGTTCAAATTCTCATGACCTCCAATACTAATTGTTGTTTTTAAAGCATATGGTATGATTTCCAAATGTAAGCCCTTAAGTTAACTTTCATTTAAGAAAGAGTGTAAGAAATTGATTAAGTATCATATATGAACCTCTCATAATAATTCGAATTATGAAGACCAATCTTTCTATGATCGATCTGATGAGTAATTTTCTGTTGTAATATCAGATGCAAAAATATAGAGAGCGAGTTGGACGGTTTCCCTGACGATTCGTCGTCTCCGACGCCTGAGTGCGAGCTATCTCCGGCGACTGCTCGACCGCCATCCTCTGTTTCTTCTTCTCTGGTCTTGCTGGTTTCAGAATGAGTTCTTTGCCAAGTCGTTCGTGGGCGGAGCTTTTCGGCATTGCTGAGGAGAATCGCCTGGTGTACGTGGAGCCCGAAATCGTGGATAGAGGCTTGTGTATCCTAGCGGAACTGGATGAAGAGGGAATCGCGCGTTGGAAGCACTATCTAGTAGGTCAATTCCTCTCTTCTTCGCCTCACATCCGGCAAGTTCAGTCCTGGGCGAATCGGCTTTGGGGCAAGAAGGGATCAATTAGTTAGGAGAAAGGCTGCTACTGTTCCAGTTTCCTACTGCTGAGACTGCTCATTGGGTGTTCTCGAGTGGCCCTTGGCATCTGAAGAATGATATGTGTTACCTAAGGAAGTGGGAGCCAGGGATTAGAGCAGAGCAGCCACGACAGTCGATCCCAATCTGGGTGAGATTCCTCGATCTTCCTCTGGAACATAGCATGGGTCGTATACTCACTAGGTTGGCTAGCATTATTGGTAAGCCTCTGTGGTTTGATAAATCAACTCGCCTGGGTCAGCGTTTGGGGTATCCTCGAGTCTGTGTTGAGATGGAGGTCAGCTCTGAGTTCCCGGATTTCCTGCGGCTAGTTCCTGATAAAAGACCTGCTTATAATGTGCATATCGAATTCTGTAATAAACCATAAATCTGTGCCAAATGCTGCAAATTTGGGCATGATTGTTCGAAAGAAAATCTTCAGGTAGAGCAGCAGGAGGTGCAGGGAGAGAGGCAGGGGTCCAGGGAGTTATTCATTCTGAGGAGGTGGGGCAGCAGGAGTTGGAAGTGGTCGGGGACATATCTTTGGAACAGGGAGAAGTTCTTGGCACTCAGTCAGCAGTAGTGGCTCCTCTGTCTAAAGATGTTGGAGAAGTCATGCCTGTCCAGGAAGGGTTGCAGCTGGCTGTGAATAATATTATTACTTCTTTAACTGAGGGCTCTAACACTTGGCAAGGATGTGGTTTGCCAACTGAGAGGGAGTTTCATCAAGCAGTTGAAGCAATTGGGGCAGATCAAGGCTCTTTTGGTGTTTTGGCATCGTTAACTCAGTTCGAGGTTGGTGAAGTAATGGTTCCCCTCTAAAGGATCCAGCTCATTTCCCAGAATTGGGGAAGGATGGATTAAACAAGAAAAAGGGTAAACCTGGGAGGCCTCCAAAGGGGGCAAAACAGTCTACTAAATCATGAATATTCTAGTTTGGAACATGAGGGGGTTTAATAGCCCTGCAAAACAGGACAGTATAGTGGAGGTTGTTAATAGAAATAGGGTGGAGATTGTAGCTATTTTGGAGTCCAGAGTCAGTTCAGAAAAGGTAGAGAAAATAGTAGAGGGAAAATTTCCTGGTTGGGAGCATAGGGAGACTTACTCTGAAGTGGGGGTTGGGAGGATTTGGATTCTTTGGAAGAAGGATCTGAAGTTCAGTGTGGTGGTAAGTGGCAGCAATTTTGTTCATGGCATTCTTCAGGAGGGGACTCATACCCAGATTACTTTCTTGTATGGTTCAAATGATGTTGTGGAGAGGAGGCAGACTTATAGAGAGATTGCTGGGATTGTGGATTTATCCACTCCTTGGCTGGTGGTTGGTGACTTTAATGCTATTGTAGATGGTTCTGAGAGCTCGAATCAAGTGAGTTTGGGGGAGAGTACAGTAGATTTCAAGTCATAGATTGAGGAACTCAAGTTGATTGACCACAAGGTCATGGGGCCTTGGTACACTTGGTCCAACAAGCAGTCTGAATCTCCAATAGCAAAAAGGCTGGATAGGGTTCTGATTACAGAGGGTTGGTTGGAAGCTTATCCAAGAAGTTTAGTGAGAATCCTACTGCCAGGGTTGTCTGACCATTGCGGGCTACTTGTTAGTTTAGATTCTACCACTCAAACCTTGCCAAAACCTTTTAAATACTTTAGTTTCTGGAAGCTTCATCCCCAGTATGATAGATTGGTGAAGGAGGGTTGGCTCTGTCCTGCTACTGGATCAACTATGGCCAGATTGTATCAAAAGCTACGCAACATTAAAAGCAATCTGAAAAGTCTTATCAGGGAGTGCTACTCTGAGATTCATGACAGGGTTCGTCAAGCAAAGGCTGAACTTGATCAGGCACAGCAAGAGGTGTTGGAGCGCCCTGCCTCCTCAGCTTTCCAGGCTGAAAGGAGGTGTATGGTCCAGCTTCTTGCACTTCAAAAAGTAGAGGAAGGGTTTCTCAAACAGAAGTCCAAGCAACAATGGGTAACAAGTGGGGACACAAACTCCTGTTTCTTTCACAGTATGGTAAAAACAAGACAGGCCAGAAACACTATTAAGCAGATAGTCACAGAAGAAGGGCAGGTTCTAGAAAACATTGAGGATATTGGTCTAGAAGCAGTAAGTTTCTATAAGAAGCTTTTGGGAACAGAGGACCACAATCTGAGAAGAGTCTCGGTTGACACATTAAAGAGACTACTGAAGTTTCACTTGGTAGATGGAGGTGAGGACCTTTATTCTATGGTTACAGGAGATGAAGTAAAGAAGGTAGTAATGAGAATGAAGAAGGGGAAAGCCCCAGGGCCATATGGGTATTCTGCAGAGTTTTTCCAATTGCATTGGGACTTGGTTGGAGAGGTTTTCACTCAAGCTGTCTAGGAATTCTTTTGTTCTGGGAAAATGCGTAAAGAGGTAAACTGCCCTATCTTAGCCCTCATACCTAAGATACCAAATGCAAACACTATGAAGAACTTTAGGCCTATATCCTGTTGTAATTTTGTCTTTAAATGTATCTCTAAGATACTAGCCAATAGGCTGCAAGTAGTTCTGCCCCAGCTTATAAGCCCTAACCAATCTGCTTTCATTAGGGGGAGGCTTATAACAGATAACATAGTGCTAGCCCATGAGATGGTAAAGTGGTATAATAGGAAGAACGTTTCCCCTAGATGTGCTTTAAAAATAGACATAATGAAGGCGTTTGACAGTGTTGACTAGGATTTTCTACTCTGCACTCTGACTGCCATGGGTATTCCAAGCAAGTTTGTGACTTGGGTGAGAGGTTGTTTGAATTCTGCTAGTTTTTCTGTCTGTATCAATGGGGGGCTTACTGGTCTGTTTCAAGCCAAGAAGGGACTAAGGCAGGGGTGCCCCCTCTCTCCCTATTTGTTTACTGTTAGCATGGAAGTGCTAAGCTGTATGCTTGACAGAGCAGCTGCTCAAAACATTTTGCCATATCATCCACAATGTA